TAAAACTTTGTTTACCAAAGAATAGAATTCTGATGGATTTTGACTTTAGTTGATCCCTTGAGAGCTCATTTAAATATCTCTAACCAAATTCAATTTTATCTTRTAATAGAACATGCCCAGTACAGACCAGCACATGACTGGAGTAAAGGTCAGGGGTCAGCTATGACCACAGATGGGCTGTGGCCCACCAGGGTGGGGCTAGAGAATGCCGGGGCTAAGGTGGGAGTGTGCCAGCTGCTGTTTTCTGAAYGCTCTTTACTCTGTTGACAACCTATTGTGTTTGACTTTGACTAGTAGCATTTTGACAAGAAATGATGGAAAGATAAATATAATGTAGGGATTTATACCTTTTCAAGACAGATAGGGAATGCATTGAAATCTCCAAAGCAAAATGTCTCCAGGTCACAGTATTTTGGTTTCTCTCTGTAAGGAAATGCTTCCCCCCCCCCCTTAATAAATTGAAACTCCCAACATCTGGGGTTTGCACATGAAAGAGTCCCTTCAGTGGGTGTGGTAGCTGGGCCATGTGGCCCTGATCAGCCTCCCTGGACTTCACCTTCTCTGCCAAAGAGGGATGCTTGGGGAGGTGAGCAGTGAGATTCAAATTCTAAGCCTAAATATGGTTAAAAGATTCTTCCCTTGCTTCCTCACGCACAGCTGAGGCAATTTTTTTTTTTTTTTTAAGACTAGGGGATCAGAGCAGAAAATATCATGGAGTCAGGAAATCTACATTCTGAATGACGCTTGCTTCTGTGGCCCATAGTGCCCATACTGAGCGACCCTAAGAGAAGAGGGAAAAGACCCCACTTGAGTTGGTGAAGTCTGCTCCTTGACCTGAGTCTTTATGGATGTGCCACTTTAGCATCCACAATCAGGAGACTCTAGGTCACTGTGATGTCACTTTGAAAGGAAATGCTATTTTTTCCTTTGTAAGTTAAAATTCCTAACTTCTGGGGTTTGGGAGTTACTCTTCTAGACAACCAGTATGCTCCAAACCTAGAAATTCGGCCTCTAATAATCTACTCTTAAACTTCCTCACTTAGCCAGGCAAGGTGGCACACGACTGTAATCCCAGCAGCTCAGGAGGCTGAGACAGGAGGATTGTAAGTTCAAAGCCTGCCTCAGCAACTGCGAGGTGCTAAGCAACTCAGTGAGACCCTGTCTCTAAATAAAATTCAAAATAGGTTTGAAGATGTGGCTCAGTGGTCGAGTGCACCTGAGTTCAATCCCTGGTACCAAAGATAAATAAATAAATAAATTCCCTCACTTAARTACCCTATAAAGTTCTCTTATTGACCTCTTTTTTATACAGAAGGAAACTGAAGTTCAAAAACGGTTTAAAAACATTTTTTCCCCCAAGTGACACTCCTAATTGTGTGGTGGGACTAGGCTACAAACCTGTTCTGTTGGACTCTAAAGCCCATGCCATTGTAAAACTCTACAGTACCCTTSAGTTTTAGCATGCTGTCCTTGGAGGGCTTAGGCTTCATTTCATTAAAGAAGACAGAATCCCTTTCACCCTCAGCCTCACAGCTCCAAGAGACTTTGGTATTGAAACATCCTGTTCTGAACTGTGTTCCGGGTCCAGGCTCTGTCAGCCACTTGAAGACAGCTAACATAGGGAAGGGAGGAGAGTGTTAGAAACAGACTGTTACACTGGGGCTCATGCGGACAGCACTCGTCCTCCTCAACTGGCCAATCTGTTCCTCTCTGCCTTCCCCAGCACCATTTAAGTTTTAATTACCTTCCAACTGTCTGAGCTGCTGTTGAGGACTTCAGAGAGAACAAAGGATACCTGTTACAGTTTTCAGCAGAACTCTTCTCTACACACTGATGAAGTCACTAGCTGCCACTGCCCTTATTACCAGGTTAAATCAGAGTCTGACTGCACTGGAGAGAAGGAGGTGAAAAGGAAAAAATAAATAAAATAAGCCTTAGGCTTTACCTCTTTGTTATTCAGGATTTCTTGTGACAGATAAAATATGGTACCTACTTCTGTTTGGGTGTTATGACCAGGTTTTGCTTTATTTCTCAAAAAAGTAAAAAGAAGGATCTCTTCTATCCTTAGCCCTTGGGTTTTCAGTGACTCAGATGGTAATAACTCCTCTTCAACCTTCAGGATGCTCCATTCTGAACCCCATTAAGGTAATATGCTCACAATCGAGGACAGTGCCTGTGCTGCCTACCCAAACCTGTCATTCCCCAGGATTCAGGGCACTTCCCCAAGCTGGACAGGGCCTCTGCATGCTTAATGTAGAGCTCTCGACTCCCTCCACCATCCACTGAAGTTAGGCCGTTAGTTGAAGTGATTTGCAATTTCTAGTCTAGAACATGAGTGTAGGAAAAGGTCCAGGATATTTACAACTTCTTCCTTGAGGAAAAGGAGCATGACTGTCTATATGCCTCTCCCTGAGTGCCCAGCTGTCTGCCCCACCCCCCACCTCCTCTCCTCTCCTTCCTTGCCTCCTACCTGGGGATCGAACCCAGGGCCTTGCAAATGCTAGGCAGTACGTAACCACCAAGTTGTATCCCCAGCCCTGAAGCGTGACTTCTTTCTTTCAACGGTTACCATTTTTTAAATGTGTATTTTTATAAGATTATGCCATTTTAATAAATTATGCTATAATTTGTAGAAACTTAGAAAGTATTGTAGAACTAGAATATTCAAACTTGTTATGAGCATTACATATAGTGGGCTAATCAAGAAGTGTGATGTACAGCGGTGAATTGCTAATTTGACCTCAGAATTATGCAGCAGAGATAACATTATCTTCATTTATAGAACTTTTTTTATCTGGAGGCATCTCTTAGTGCTTTTCCAACCATATGTATTATTTTGTTTATTATCACAAACACTATCATTAAGGCTGTAAAATGCATTCCATTACCACTTTTTATTTTCAATTACTTTTAACTGTGGGAGTGGAGGTGGTGAGTTAGGGGAAGGTTGCATATTCTCTCCCATTCCTGACATTTGTACCAGGGTAAAATTTGGGAAATGACTATTAACTAAACTTGGAAAGCCTGATTCCATACAGTGAAAGAAAGGAAAGAAAGAAAGGAAAGGGAAAGGAGCTTTGTAGCATCCCCTTAGGTCAGTATGGGCTGTATTTGACCTTAGAACACCAAGGAGGGAAAGGCCCTGCTCTTCACTGTTGACCACTTCCTGGCTTACTACTCTGCACAGTAGGAGAGCTGTCTCTCCTTGGGATGATGCCAGACCTAGGGAAGAGAAAAGTGATCTGATCCATTTCCACCAAACCACATTCCCTCAGATAGCAGCACTCAGGCTGTCAGGGCCTGTGCGGTTGAAAATGCTATGCTGGTTGAGTTGCTGTGGGTTTAAGGAAATGGACAAAATTAGATTCAGGTCCAGGTGCCAGGTTTAACACACCCCTTCCCTTCCAGGAAGCAACCAGGGAGATTGTTGCTGCCAGTAGTAGATGACTCCACAATCTTTCCTGCTCAGACCATTAAGAACATATTTTAAATGAACCCACCTACTAAACCCAGTAAAATCAACACCTATCTGCCTTAAGGACTGAAGAGCGGAGATCAGGGACAACCTCCTGCTTAATCAGAGAGCTCTGATTCTTGGTGCAGAAAGAGTGGTGTCTCTCTGCCGTGAGTCTGAGCACACTGAACAGCCAGTCTAGGAGATAACATTAATATCAGTTATGAAGATGAGCGATCAGCTTGTGTCAAGGAGCAGATGGCTAAATGAGGTGCATAGGGAATGCCCAAGATTCGGGCCTGAAGAAACGGGAGGGAAAATAGCCCATGATACAAAAACCCTAAATATAATCTTCTTAATGTGAATTTTAAAAATCAGCTTTTACATTATACAGTTAACCCGGAGTGATGAGAAATGTAACAAAATTACCAAATTAGTGAACAGCGATTAACTCAGAAGTAAAATTTTATCATCTAAATCGAAGGTTGTTTTACACACAGAGGGAAGAAATTACTAAAACTTTGCYCAGTCTGTCATATCCTAATTGAAATCTGTTCCTTTAATATGCCCCATCCTTCCGAGTGCATAGTTCGTAATTTGGAAGAGCATTATCAGTTAATCTAGTTATTTTTCCTGGTTCTTCCTTTGAATTCCGTAAGACAGTGTGTGCACATTCCCTGTAGAATTGTGTGACACTCAGAAGAGTTTGTCTGTTCATTAACCTGTGAACTATCAGTCCCTTTGGAGAGTGAAGGGAGCAAGTCACTCCAAGGTTAATGCTTGTTTGTCGAAGATGAAGCCTCTTGGGTGATAGCGAAGGGTGAACAGGCCAAGATGCTCAAGACCTGCCCGGTGAAACCCTGCACCATGTGTAGATACCAGATGTGTGTGGTCAGGAGGGAGGCTGCAGAGCAGGCTGGGCCACCTCTGCTGATCACTTCCTCCGGTCAGGAGAAGGCTTCCCAGCAGTCAGGTGGGGGGCCTGGCGTAAGTATATGGGGTTAACTTACTACTAGCACTTAGGAGCAGTACTAAAATAAGACACTGGGAAGGGTTTTCAGTAGTTTATTTGCATTTCTCCTTTTAAACAGGAAAGCAATATTGATTTCATGCATTTGTCTCCAGTGGATGAAATCTTCGATTGAGTTGGAAGGCATTTGATTTTGATTATATTTGTGCACATGTGCACAGATACATTCCTAAGCCTGGGCCAGGTAGAAGCTATTTGCTAAATGTAAATGTTTCGTGGACATACACGAGTACTGACATTCAAGGCTTGACCTGAACAGTACCTAGCATGATTTTCTAGGTAAATCTAAGTTTTACTTAATTCTCTGGGAAGTGACATCACTTTGACTTTGCTATAATTATTTTAGGCTTAGTTAGAGCCAGCTGAGGAGGAAATTCAGGATCTGAAGTCAAGTTCAAAGTCTCCTTTAGTTCATATCCTGGTACACTATATGTTTAAATGAAGGACCTTATCCTGTTTATCCTTGGATTATGATGGAGTTCATTTTAAAAGATTTTCTTTTCTTTTTACCCTTAGATATATTCGAATAGTTGGGACCCACAATACAGTAAACAAGATCTTTCACATTGTGGCTTTTGAATGTATGTTTACAAACAAAATCTTCACTCTGGAGAAGGGTCTGATCGGTAAGTATTATAATACTTTTTTTTGTTATGTATACTAAGATATTTTGTTATTCCATTAACTCATTATAATCAGATCTAAGGACTCTGGCTTAATGACAGGAGATGGCTTACATTTTTAGAAGCAGTCAAAATAGTAATTCCAGTAAACTTAAAGGAAAAGAATATAAATATTGTACTAGTAGTTAAGAATTTAAAATATTCTAGTGATTCATTCAGAATTGCAATGTAGAGAATGCTCTTGATAGCCAGGCAAAGGCTTTCATACCAAAGGCTTTTCTATAGTTTAATGGCAGTTGAGATTGGGGAGGAAGTCAGTCTGATATTGATCGGATGCTCATACTTTCTAGGCCTAAGACAGTATGTTGGCTTTTGATTTGGTATGAATGGTGTGCTCAGCTGTGGGAGTATCTTCCTTTCACAAATGTGTCAGGCCATATTTGCCCTGCTTAGCCAAGTTCACCTCAGGAAAGTGCCTGCCTATAATTTCAGTGAGACCCGAGTGATTGAACTGTCATTGCAAAAGTCAAGTTATTAGGTGGGAAATACTGCCTGACCGATCTGTTGAAAGGTATTTTGAATTTTGGATTAGTTGTTTGCTTGTTTTCTGATGTGCTTGTCTTTGGTTCGTTGTAAGGTAATGCTTAGCTGGGCACTGTGTACAGTCAATCCCGGGTTGATGGATCACAGTGTATCACGAGTGGCTTTTCTCATTCAAACTACCTATCCCTCTTCTCTTTTTCCCATACTCACATGTCTTTACTCCCCTCCTGCAAAGATCATTGTTAAACTAAAAAGATCTTTGAAAATGTGTCTCTACTCCCTATGTTCAGAGGTAGTAGGAGGTTGAGATGCTCCTGCCTCACAGCACCAAAACAGAATTATGTGTCTTTTCCAACGGACTTGGTACTCTAGATCATCTCAGTCCTGTCACTATTGGGACCCATGTCCATATCAACGCATGTCCTGAAAACTTGGTAATGATTAGAATGGGAAAGAGGAGTGTCACTCACGGATGTTCACCAGTTCTTTGAATGGTCACAGCCTAAATTGTCCTAACACCTGTTGTGTCCTGTTAATCCTTTACTTATGGGAATTTGGGAGAATAATATTAATAAAGTAGCAGGATTTAAAAATTTCCAGTGTATAGAGAACTTTTAGAGCTCAACTAAAACCATTGTTTTAGTTTTAACTTTGTTATGGATATAACTTTTAATATTAAATATCAAAGTTGATTTCTGTATTTTTAAGTAACTTTGAAAGTTAACAAGTTTGAAGCATTACCTGGTGTTACTGTTTTTTAACTCTGTAGGCTGTATAGATTTGAGGAAGGGCCCTTCTTTTCCTCCTTTTCACCCAGGTTCTTCTGTAGACTGTAGGCCTCACTGTGTGTGTGACCGTGCAACCTGGAGAGTCCTCACTAACCAAAGTCCTGCTTATTCACAACATGGGTAGCATCGGGCTACTCAATTCAGCCCCAGGTGCTGCATTTTTTAACATTCTCCACAGAAGGTGCCATCAACTTAAATCAGTCCTACTAAAGTGTTGGAGGACACTGTAATTATCAAAGAAACAGGCCCATCTGGTGTGAGAGGCCATTACAAGAGTGAAACTCAGGATGAGTTGTAATAAGGGATACTGTTGTTGGTGTGAGTGTTTTGTCCTAGCTGAACCACTTGGTACCGTCAGAAGCAGTGACAGTCGCAGGCATGTCAGGCTCTGAAAGAAGATTGCAGAGATGCAAGAAGTGTTTTTGGAGTCTGGTTGAACACTTTTCTTTGAGCCCTTTTCTGTGATGGCCACAAGCTTGACTACAAAAAGCACTGCAATCATCCTCCTGTCATCGTCCCTCAACCAAATGGGAGCAGTGGTGCAGGCAGGCAGCTATATGTGTACACTTGCCAGCAGATGGTCTGCAGTGGGATCCCCTCTGGCCCTTCCTGGGACGTCCTCCCAGCTCAGAGCTGCCTGTGCTGGGCAGACAGGGAGGTGGCGTGAGTGTGAAGAAGTACAGGGGGATCTCATTATCCTCTGTCTGACATTGCAGCTTTGCTTCACTTAGAGAGGTGTTTGAAATAGTAATGGCCAGCTTTCCATGTTGATTATCTCAGGTGCATTTAGCAGCCCACAGATCCCAGCCAGCTACCCTGCAGGAACCTCCCAGAAAGGAGTGGTACTCTAGTGTGGACACTGGTGTGTCAGATTCACCAGGAGTTTTTATTTTATTTTATTTATTTATTTTGAGACAGAGACTGGCTTCCAACTCCTAGGCTCAARCAGTCCTCCTGCCTTAGCCTCCCAAGTAGCTGGGAACATAGGYGTGCACTGCCATACCCAGCTCAAAGTTGTTTTTAAGTCATAGATGCATGCTTCTTATTTCTTCCTATGTCCTGTGAAATATGCTATCAACCATTAAGAACCACTGATATCAACCCTACATTTTCATGGCAGGAAAAACCATATTAAAACTAAAATAATATCATGAATAACTAAACAGTATCAAAACTTACTTTTATGTTTCTAGGTTCAGAACTTCCTTCTTTTACGATTCCTGGTCATCCTTTYATAATTTGATAGACTCCACTAATCATTTTTCTATAGGCCTTAAAAAATGACTTTAAAAATATTTGTATTTTATCTGATTTTAATGTTTCTGCTTAAAATATGTAATGATGCCAGAAAATAATACAAGTAAAAATAACCGCATTAGCCACCAGGCRTGGTGGTGCACATCTGTAATTCCAGTGGCTCGGGAGACTAAGGCAGGAGGATTGCAGGTTCAAAGCTAGCCTCAGCAACTTAGTGAGGCTGTAAGCAACCTAGTGAGACCCTTTCTCAAAATAAAAAATAAATAAAAAGGGATGGTGATGTGACTCAGTGGTTAAGCACCCTGGCTTTAATTCCTGGTACACAACGAACAAACAAAAACAAGGTATCAACTGCATAAGATTAGTCTTCTTTTCCTACCAAAGAGTTTGTTTTCTATGTTTGATGACAACATGTCTCTCCTCAATGCTACTTTACTTGCACAGTTTCATGGGGAAGCTTTGAGGTTCTCTAGGGTCTTATCCTTGGGACTGCCTCCGAGCTCTACCAAACTGTCCATCTTAGCTGCTGCCACTACAACCCCTTCTCATTTTGTGGCTGCTTCTGGATCTTGCTGGGACGTATTCTCTCCTGAGAGAGTAGGCCCATGATGACTGCTCCTCTGTTAGGAGGCATTTGTAGAAAACTGTAAGCTATCTTAGCAGTGAGGCATGGAAGAAAAATTAGAATAGAATTGGCTACTTTTTATAAGTTTTTTATCCCACAATGTGTTGGAGTCAGATTTTCATTGCTGTGGCCAAAAGACCTTACAAGAAGAGTTAGAGCAAGAATAATTTATTTGGTTCACAGTTTCAGAAGTTCAGTTCATGGTTGGCTAACTCTATATCTCTGGGCCTGAGGTTATGCAGAATATCATGGTGGTTGAGTGTGGTGAAGGAAAGCAGCTCAGGACATGGCAGCCATGAAGCAAAGAGAGTTCTGCTCACCAAGGACACAACATAAACTCTAGCATCCCCCCCCCCCCCCCGTGACATACTTCCTTCCACTATAACCTCCCTGTCTAAAGTCACCACCTAGTTAATCCACTGTGAATTAATTCACTGATTAGGTCACCCTTGTCATAATCYAATCATTTTCTCTGAATATTCTTGCATTGTCTTATATATGAGCTTTTGGGAGACCTAACATTCCACCCCTGGTCCCCAGAAGTTCATGCCCATCTCACAATGCAAAATACATTTAGTTCATTATCAGTAGTTCCCAAATTCTTCCAAGATTCAGAGCAAACTCTCAGTATGAACTGCTATAAAAAAATCAAAATTAAGTTATATATATTCACTATGCAATGGCATACAGTAAATATTTCCATTCCACAAGGGAGAAATATGGGCATATAAAGAAGAGATGGAACAATAGCAAGACCAAAATCCAGCTGGGCAAACAAGTTCTGTAGCTCCACATCCAACATCTGGGGCACATGGCATTGTGATGTTCCCTCTGAAGGGCTTGTGTAGCTCCGCCACTGTGGCTTGCTAGTTGCAGTCTGGCTTGTCTCTACTCCTGCAGCTTTCTCGCAGTAGACATTCCATGTTACTAGCATCTCTTAATCTCAGGGGTCTTCACCACAACTTTTGCTTCCTTTCTACTTCTTTGCTCATCACCCTCTCCGTGGCAGCCCACAGGGACTTTAAACTGCTCACATTTTTCCTGGCTTTTTAGGCCTTCCTTTGAAATTACAGTGGAAGCCTCCATAACCCCCTAACTTCACCATCCTACAATCTTGTAGAACTAGTACCACATGGTTGAAGCCAAGCTCTGCCAACATTTTGAGAGGTAACCAGGCTTCCAGGCACCACAAATGCAGCAGCCTCTGAGTTACTGGGCAGCTGAACATGGTGAAAGATCTTCCTAGACTGCTGTGTGCAAGTAGGGTGCCCAAGTGTTCTTTTATGAAAAAAACATTTTTACTTTATACCCTTCATCCTGAGATGGATGTGGTCTTGCCAATTTCTGAGATGCCCTCAGGCTGTTTTTCCTATTGTGTCTGGGTAAAGTACTCAGTGAATCTTTAGTGGCTATAATCTCACCCAGTTTTACTTGCACTGTTTTGGACAAACTGCAATTTTTCAAATCTTTCTGCTGTTTCCTGCTCCTTATTATCACCGTTAATTTGGCTCAAATCTACCAGCAATATTCATGCTGCCACTTGAGTGCTGTGCTGCCTTGAAATTTCCTCTGCCAAATTAATTAGGCCATCACCTCTAATTTCAGCCTCACAGTAAGTCTCAGGACATAAGCAAGATGTAGATAGTTTGTTGTTGTTGTTGTTGTTGTTTTGTTTTTGCCAGAATGCAATACGAACGGCCTCTAGTCCAATTCCCATAGAGTCCTTTCTCTCCTTTGAAACCTCATAAGCCAAGTCTTTACTGTCCACAGGCCTATTGGCATTCTGGTTT